GAATCACTCATGTTCATCTTTTGGTTTAACGATTACAACTAATTTTAATGTTATAATATAATTATATTTGTACAAAACTATATATCAGGATTACGCCGTTCATTTAGTGTTTAAAATTGGACATGTATATATATATATATATATATATATATATATATCACTTTCACTGCAATAAAACAACCCTTAAAATAGGAGTACTGTATTATAAAGATACTACTAATATATGAGTTTTGCATTAATTAGTTGGTCGTAACTGTGTCAGACTACATGAATTCAAAGTCCCATGCAAACTAAATTTGGAAGAATAAAAACCGAGTAATTGAAGAGTCAATGATCCTTTGAATATCTTCTTTGCTGGGAAACTCACCTTGGCTTTTTGAGCATCATCCCGATTCACAATTTCTAATGTCAAATAAGGAAAAGAAAACTTGTTTTAATTTTCTTCTTTACATTATGAGTCAAAAACAAAGAGACCAAAGAAGTGGGAAGAGTGAAGAAACTTGAGCAATTTCCACCAAAATTTCCCTGAAATAACGAAAAACAAACACATTTTTATAAATTCCATATGGATGATTAAGAGTGTTCACCGGTTGTTCGAGAAGACGATTATTCTTTGTTATTAGATTTTTTTGTTTGTTTTGTCGGGCTGAATATCAAAGTGGTCAAAAAGAATTATCTTAAGACTATAAAAGACTAGACTTTACAAGTCAAATTGTTGTTTTATCATTAATTATAACGAAGCTATTAAAAATTAAACCAAGTCTTTCAAATAGTCTCTCCAGTGGAACGAATCCATAATTCAAACAAGCGTCGTGTGACGTAGAACTGAATAAACTGTAACTAACTACACGTTCATCTGCGATATTATAGTATGACTTTGATATTATTAAAATTGGTGGACGCGGTCACATTATTAATCTATGAACATAATTTTATTGTTATTCGAGACTTTGAATTAATGTGTGTTTGTAGATGCTACGAAATTTTCTGCATTTACTCAAGTCTGAAAGCTAGACTATTTTGTAAATACATGACTATTTTTGAATGTACACTTAACATTTTTTTTCCAAACGGAGATTTTACTTTAACTTTCTTAATCAAATAACTAGAAAAAGGTTAGTTGAATCTATATAACCTTAATGTACAATTTTACTCACAATCCATACTATATAAAAGTTGAAGGGTAGTATTTCTTGTTTTCACATAGAATTCTTCATTACGTACGAATGATGTGATCTTGTAACAATTGTTTTTTTAAATTCATGCATGTATATATATATATGTATATTTGTGTGCCAAAGCATTGATAATTTACTGCTACGAGTATAAAAATATTGGAAAAAAAAAGAAAGTCAAATATCTAGAGTTTGAAGTTTTTGACGAAAGATAATTCTATTACTTGCAAAAGTTATTTACATGTTTTTAATCTAAAAACGATAAAATAAGAAAACAGAAATGGTTATTTTTAGCTAGAAAAAAATTAACCGATAAGAGAATTAACAACTTTAAAAGTGATAAACACATAAAATCAAGAGTTAAACAGAAAGTGAACGTAAATTAGGATAAATATGATTATAAAATAATTACTCTACGACTAAACCTATAATTCAAGTGTTCACACTCCATTAAAAAAAAAAAGTCCAAACTTTTAAATTCTTGTATAGATTTGACAACTTAGTACGTAAGGCCAAAATTAACTTATAGTACAAGGTGATCGACTAAAAAGAGTTGAACCCTATGCATGAGGTGGGCGTGGTTAGACAACTTGGGACATAATAAGTCCATTTAAACTACACTATACTACAAGTTGTCCAAATCCCAAACTTTTTATGATCGCTGGGTCAGAATATAAAACTATAAGAAATGGACAATGCGATTGAGATTAGCTTACCTTACGCGGCAGAAGCTTGCAAACCAGACAAAAATATATATAAAATCTTAGTGACGCGATCAGTCATATGGGACAAAACGTTTTTACATTTTTAAAATATCGTCTGGTTTAGTTTTGGTTACAAGGTTCGTGTCGTGGCCATGAATCACAAATCCCCTCTGTGAATGAATGAATAGTTCAATTTTCAAAGGTCTCGTCCGCTGCCTATATTTTAATGATTTTAAAATTAATTGAAGCTTTTGAAATTTAATAATTATGAATAAATCCAATGAGGCAATAATTTTCTTTTATAGAAATTATCAGTTTCCATTTTTATTGTTTTTATAACAGTATCATATATTCCTTATATTTATAAAAACAATATATAGTTGATACGGTACATATATTTATTTATAAATAATTGATTTTTGTATTAAGATCTGTGGGAAAAAACCAGCCAATCCCACATGCCACTGTGATTGTGGGCTCAATCTGTCTAACCCTGTTTTTGACACCTCTGGGCCCTTCTAAGAGAAACCTTGATTGTGAACTCAATGGTTGACCTCATGCACGTTACTTTGATTTACATAGCAATCTTGTTGCAAAGGAAAAAATAACAAACGAGAGTGTCTCTATTTATCTGATTTTGTGGTCCTCGAATGCACTCTGTATTTGCTACTTCCATTGCATCGGGGTAGAAATTTCAACACGAAAATACAATGTTCACATGTGCAATGGAAAAACTTGGCCTACACAAACATAAGTGTGTAAACTGTCCCGTTTAGAATCCTTGTGTTAGTGCAAACACACGTCCCTCTAGAGGTGGAGGCAATGCAGAAACCGCATCTTCGATTTCCTGTGAAAACTCGCGAAGCTGACTTAACACGACTACAAGGAAGAAAGTAACTACTTTTCAACTGTTCCATAATCAGATTGGATAAGAAAACACACCTTCACTGTATACCGAGCCGAAAAGTGGATCAGTAGGATTGCTTTGTTTTGAAACTTTTCAGCATGATTTACTATCTGCAATTTGAAGAACCAAGAAAACTTTTTATGAGCATCAAGAGACAGAAAGTAACAAGGGATTTCAAATAAATGAAGACCCTGACCTCAGATAAATGGATATGTCCATAATCCCTTGCATGCTCTACGGATACGGAATCATCAAGAAATGTGCTCTGTGCAAGAAGAAATAGAGACAAGACAGCTTCCCTTTAGTACAAAGCCATGAAACTTGACCAGGAAAAAGAATATCATTAAGAATCACGCACATTGTCCTAATTCATATCAGCAGCAAATATTCACCTCCATGACGAGAACCTTTGCCTTGAGAGCATCATCATTATTTTCATCAACTACAAAATCCGATGTTGTATCTCCCGTAAAAGCGACTTCAGGAGTTGTTATGCTGTTTGTTATCTACAATCCAAAATCATTAAACAGGCTTGTATATTGGAAAAACCATATCAAAGTTATTGAATCAGACGCATAAAAAAATTTTGACAAGCAATTTACGGGAAATCAGAGACTAACCTCAACACCTGAAGCCTTCAAGTTCTTAATTTCATTCCCAGATAGGCCAATATACTCCTGCTTTAGTTTATGTTTAGTTGAATACACTACATAACCCTGCAATTATCACACAAAAAGCATAAATTCAACGAAGACACATATAACACTAAGATATCAAAAAGCAAGCTCAAGTGGCGTTAATAAAAGAAACCTGGCTTTGGATGACATGGTATGTCTTAAAGGCTTTAACTTTGAGATCTTTCCTAATAATAAACTCCTCCCCTAGACACCATGAAGTTCCCGAGGTTAAAACAAAACACAAAATCATCAGCTGCAATGAATACAAGAGGTTGAATTACCTATGTCCAAGCCAACAAGATTGTGCTTTAGCTCTGAAGAATCTAACTTTCTGTGAACCTCAAACAAACTCTCGACAGTTTCTTTAATCGATTTGGGCACTATAATCGTTGGAGGCTTCATTTTGTACAAGCCTCTAGTTGCAACATACATTGGCAATCCACCCTAGCATAACAACACGAACAGTTTAGCTTACAATTCGAGAATGTGACACCATAACAGTAACAGAGCGATAGGCTAATGATAATAAAAACAAGGTGGCTCAACAAGGGTGTATCTAAATTGCTCTCAATATTCAAATTCAAATTCAAAGTCAAAGTACGATCTTTGCAAACCCAATCGGAAAGTTTTAAATCTTTTTTTTCAGAAAGTTCAATATTATACTTACGATATGATCCATGTGAGAATGAGAGATGAAGAGGAAGTCCTGTGAAATTGCGCGATGTGGGCAACGACCAATGTCGAAAGCTATCCGAAGAGATGGGAATATGATACACGTCTCGTGCCCTCCAATCGATAATCCCTCGATAGGGTACCCTTCGATTTGCATTGCCTTCTTCTTCTCCATTCTCACCGTCCCTTGTGGGTTTATCGAATTTTGCCTGTGACTTTCGTTCTCCTTACTTTGAACTTCTCCTCAGGAATTGAGCACCAAGTGTTCGATGAAATGTCTCACAAAGTGTATGATGAAATTAGTAGTGGACCGGGCTTAGGCCCATTAACGGTTAACGAGATAGAGCGGTTTGATTCGCGCGCGTGGAAGCACAAAGAAAATTGGCACGTGCCTGACTCGCACAAAAGTGATTAGTCTTTCGCATTCAACGACAGTGGAAGGGTACAAAAGTAAATTAACATGAATGCTTCATATGAACGTAGCAGCATTGTTACACTTGTTTTCGAAGTAACCTCGACGACGACTATACATACACAAAATCTGAGCAATTTCAATTAATATATCTGAAATGTATAGTATTATTATTAATTTTTAGACGACTTTAATAATTTTTCTTTGTCTAATCTAATCGCATTTAATGTTTTCACAGCTTTATTACTCTCTTTATTTATTGATTTTTCCCTCTTTCGAATTCCGAATTATTCTGTAAAAAGTAAATTTAGTTAAACTAAATATTTCGGAGATGATCGGACGGCTAGAAATCAACGGCGTAAGATTAGAGTTATGGAGATGCGCTTACTTTTTTGTTTTGGGTTAAAATTAGAAATATATATAAAAATTATATTTTCTCTTTCCTTCTGGTCACTGGAACTATACCACCAAAGAGGAACAGTTTCTCTCAGAGCATCAAGCTCCGGGAAGAGGAATCGAGAGAGAGACGCTTATGGAAGCATTCAGTTAACACATCGCCTCTAATTCACGGGTATATTTTTATTGTCTTCTTCATTGTTTTTGGTTTGAATCGGACTCGGATTTAGAACAAGAGATCCGAACGGTTACTCGAAGTAGAAAAACCGACAATTTTTAAGGACATTGTTCGAGTAGTGTTGGATTTTAGAGAGATCTCTCTGTTTTGGGTTTTGTTGTTTGACAGACTATGTCGGTGTTTTTTGTTTGTTTGTTGTTCATTTTGGAAATGTTCATTTTGAGTCCTTAGGGTTCTTCTGCTTACAGTGTGAGTTCCAGATCTGGTTTTTTTTTTTTTTTTTTTTTTTTTGTGTGCACACATTAGTAATTTATTCAATTCCTGAGTTTTTATTTAAATCCCAAAATTATATGGATAATCATTGGTGTTCTTTCTTGATTCTTCCATTTCGTTAATGATTTACTCTTTATCTTTTCAAAGCTAATTATTAGAGTTGATTCTAAACAAAATGATGTTACCCTTCAACTAATTAATAAACTAATCATTTATTGTCTATTCTCTTCATTTTAATTATTGGTTGTGGTAACCATAAGCTTGGACAATGCAGGTATTTGAGTTCCATATACATCATGGGGAAGCCTACAAAGTGGTTAAAGAGTGTATTGCTTGGCAAAAAGACCTCTAAATCTAGTGGTTCCAAGGGAAAAGAGGTAATGTTTCGTATGTGATGATTGCTAGTCTAAATATGTCTGGAATTTGGATCACACTCGATTTTTTTTTTTGTGTGTGGAATGGTTTTAGGCTACTTTGTTGCTTTATAGTTTATACAATTGCATGAGTTTTTTTTTTTTTTTCGTTTTTGTTATAACGCACAGAGAGTTGTGAGTGGAAAAGAGGTATTGGTTACTGCCAAGGTAGAAGAATCAGATGTGGTATCAGATCTTCCTTCTTTTGCAACTGCAGCAACCAATGCCGTTGATAGAAGCGGTGGTATGTTAGAGACACAAAATGTACAACCTGAAGAGATCTCAGATGATGACATAGAGCTTCCTGAGGGAAAACCAACAGATTCTCAAACTGTTGCACCTGTTCAAGATGATTCACTATCTGATGCAGAGAAAATCCAACAAGAGATTGCAGCAACGTCTGTGCAGGCTGCGTTTAGAGGTTATCTGGTAATATTTTCAGCTGTTTGGGTTGTGGGCTTGGCTCTTTTGATTGCTACTATTTGTTTTTCCTTCTTTTTTCGGTATATCCTGATCTGAGCTCATTGTGTGAAGGCTCGGCGCGCCTTTTGGGCACTCAAAGGCATAATAAGGCTACAAGCACTTATCCGTGGTCACCTGGTTAGGAGGCAAGCTGTTGCTACTCTTTTCTCTGTCATGGGAATTGTTAAATTGCAAGCATTTGCTCGAGGAAGAGAGATCAGGAAGTCTGACATTGGAGTTCTAGTTCAAAGGAAATGCAGATTGCAGCTGCTTCAGGTAACGATACTTTTTCTTCCTTGTAATTTTAAGTTCCCTTGCTAATTGTGAATGATTGGTCTTAAATTCAAACTTAGTGCAGGATAATATTGTTCTTGGGATTGGTGTAGAAATATGTTTATTTTCTCATCAAATTAGAATTGGATTTTTTTATGTATCAGGGGAACAAGCTTGCAAACCCTACAGATGCTTACCTTGGAATCAAGAAACTAACATCCAATGCTTTTGCTCTGAAGGTATGCTTGTCTATAGAGCTATTTGTTATAAAGAAATTAGGAGAAACAGATAAGGAGCCAAGTTTGTTGTATACAACTTCTTGTTTGTATTATGGAGTCCCTTCTTTCAATTAAAAATATTGATGGATAATTGTGTTTGCAGCTTCTCGCTACATCACCAAAAGTGATACCTGTACACGCCTATGATTCATCCAATCCAAACTCAAACTTGATCTGGTTAGAGAACTGGTCAGCCTCATGCTTCTGGAAACCAATTTCTCAACCGAAGAAAACAATAGGCAGAAAACCTCAGAACAAGGTTTTAGTCGAGGCTGAATCTGCTAAACCCAAGAAGAGTGTCCGTAAAGTTCCTGCTGCAAACTTTGAAAGCTCCTCAGTACAGACATCATTTGAGTTCGAGAAACCTAAACGAAGTTTCCGGAAAGTTTCAAGCCAGTCAATAGAGCCACCCGCTGTTGAGGATCCTCAGATTGAACTTGAAAAGGTTAAACGTAGCTTGAGGAAGGTACATAATCCTGTAGTTGAGAGCTCTATCCAACCTCAACGATCCCCTCATAGGGAAGTGGAGAAGCCAAAGCTTGGCGTAGAGAGGATAACTGAGTCATCATATTCCCTGGTACATAAAACTGCAGAAGAACCTGCGAAGGTATGTGACGAAAAGAGAAACCAAGATGTGCCTGAACAGCCTGAGGAGGAGGTACATATTCCCGAGGTGGAACTACATACTCCTGGACCATTAGAAAGCAATGAAGCACTTGATTCATCACTTGTCAACCAAATTGATAGCAACGAAAGAGCCATGGTTGAGGAAAACCCCTCAATGGAAAAGGATACCAGAGACGAAAAGACTCCCAAACCAAAGAATAAAGAGAATTCAGCGGGGAAAGAGAACCAGAAATCCAGGAAAAAGGGTTCAGCTACTAGCAAGACGGAGCGTGAAGAGACTAATGGGCACAGTCAGACTAGCCCATCAATCCCAAGTTATATGCAAGCAACTAAATCTGCGAAAGCAAAGCTGAGGCTGCAAGGTTCACCAAAGCCTGCTGAGCAAGATGGAACTGAGAAAGCCAATGTTCCTAGACGTCATTCTCTACCATCTTCAGGTAATGGTAGGATCACCTCTAATTCTCCAAGAACAACGAGACTCACAAACTCAGGTGACAAAACAGGGAATAAGAAGGAGAAACCTCTTCTGTCGTCGTCCCGAGAAGGAACGGGTTAGTGCCAAAATTTACTACATGCTTAATGAGACCAAACTAGAATCTCCAAATCTACCTGAATGCTTTATCTGATGATCTTACTGAAAATTACTAGAGAAATTTCACATTCTCTTACATCTAACTACTCTCGATTGTGTTGTTGATTTTGCAGCCAAGACAACTCCAGCAGAACGCAAGAGGTGATAAATTGCTGCAAAAAGTTGAACACCAGAACGCAACTATCTATCTGTTTAAAAGCTTAGATAATGAGTCTGTGATTGTGTGTGTGTTTTATGCTGGCCAAGTGTTATCGTTGGCGCTACGTTTCTGCAAATGTGAGTGTGTCCTGAGCCTATAAATGTTGGGTCACAAGGCTTTTGGATCTTCTTCCTTTTAATTCTGGTTTTATCGTACATTACTTCCAAGATTTTAAACTTTTTTATTGTTTATATGAATCTGTGATTATTTTATGGTATCTTTCATCATTTACAACACAACCTTTTGGATTCAGTAATGACAATTGAAAGAGGAAAAAGGTTAACAACTATACCTCTACGTTTGTTCTTGTTAAGCATTCAAAGGTTGATGCAGGCAAAAACATATAACAACGTTAAAATTAGTTTTTTTCCGAAAGTAAAATTTGCGGCACCAAATAATATAGACAAATTTCTTAAATGAAAGAAAATGATTGGGTGGCTAAGATTCCTTATCCAAAAGAAAATCGAGTTAAGTGATCTCTTGTCATCTCTTTGGTCTCCTGTGAAGCGAACTACCGTAGCTAAGCGGCACTAGTCTCTTCTTCTATTACGATGCCAAAAGTCTACTTCTTGGCCATGGATAGTTGTGCTCTAGTGATTCCTCAGTCTCTGCCTCGCGTCAAACTTTCCCCTCCCAAATCTTCTTCTTTTGGTTTCTCCATAGCGATCAGACGGATTCAGAAGCAGCAACAGTGTTTCCGAGGAGCTAGTATATATGCCGCCGTACAAAGAAACTACGAAGAAACGATCCCCTCAGTGGAAGACGAGGATGATGAGGAGTCGTCATCATACGGAGAAGTGAACAAGATCATTGGAAGCCGAAGGGCGGCGGAAGTAGGAGCCATGGAGTACCTAATCGAGTGGAAGGACGGGCATTCTCCCTCGTGGGTTCCATCCAGCTACATCGCAGCTGACGTGGTGTCGGAGTACGAGACCCCCTGGTGGACCGCCGCTAGGAAAGCCGACGAGCAGGCCCTGTCACAGCTTCTCGAGGACCAGGACCGCGACGTCAACGCCGTGGACGAAAACGGCAGGACGGCTCTGCTTTTCGTGGCAGGTCTGGGTTCGGACAAGTGCGTTAGGCTTCTGGCGGAGGCTGGAGCCGATCTTGACCACCGAGACACCAGGGGCGGCTTGACGGCGCTGCACATGGCGGCTGGCTACGTGAAGCCGGACGTGGTGGCTGCGTTGGTGGAGCTCGGCGCTGATTTCGAATTGGAAGACGAGAGAGGTTTAACGGCGCTGGAACTAGCCAGGGAGATTCTGAAGACGACGCCTAAGGGGAACCCGATGCAGTTCGGGAGGAGACTGGGGCTGGAGAGAGTGATCAGTGTTTTGGAAGGACAAGTGTTCGAGTACGCCGAGGTGGATGAGGTTGTAGAGAAACGAGGGAAAGGCAAAGACGTTGAGTATCTTGTCCGGTGGAAGGACGGTGGAGATTGCGAGTGGGTCAAAGGTGTACACGTGGCGGAGGATGTCGCCAAGGACTACGAGGATGGGCTGGAGTACGCTGTAGCGGAGAGTGTCATTGGTAAGAGGATGGGAGACGATGGCAAGACCATCGAGTATCTTGTCAAATGGACTGATATGGCTGATGCCACCTGGGAGCCTCAAGACAACGTCGACTCCACACTTGTTCAACTCTACCTACAACAACAAGAGGATCCCCAGCAGCTGCCTACTGCTATTAACGCCGCTCCGACCAATGATTGACCCTGCCTGCCCTTCTTCTTTATATAATGATGAATTCATAACATTTCACAAAGAAGTGATCAATTTCTTTAAAGCTGTGATAGATTTTTGGGGACACTTGTGACATTTCCTTAGATATTATATGCAAGGGCGGATTCTTTGAATTCTGCTTGTCATTGGTGATGATTCTACCTATGATACACTAGTCAATCATCATCTATCTTTTTGCTGTGTACAGAGGTGTTAGGTGTATAACTCTGTGATGATTTTAGAATGGTATCCTTCATCATTTACAAGACAACCTTTTGGATGACGTAATGACTACTAAAAGAGGAATATGGTTAAGATTATACATTTATGTTTGTTCTTTTTAAGCCTTACAAGGTTGCCGCAGGCAAAACTACAGAGTGAAGACTTATATCAACTGATTCTTGTCTATGCTCTTCCATTCAAGAAAACAAAACAGACATTAAGAATTAAGTAGTATCTTTCATATTTCTGATCTTAATTTGATCGGCTTCTATCAAAAATTTCAGATTTACGATACCGATTTTTTCTATGAACATCAAACTGAAGTGAAGAAAGCTTGTGAGAAACCGCTGACCAAATCATATCCACAGAGTCTCCAGGACGCGAAGGAAACCGATACTCAAAACAGCCAACTACCTCTTTCAGTCTCTCCCACTTCTTCCTCCACTGATCCTCTCTAATCCCTCTCAGAAGATTTACCAAAAGCCCTTTCTTGACAGCTTCAGACGAATGCACAAACACAGAGAAACTTGAATAGTCTAGAGTATCTTCAAATGGGAGCTCAATCTGATCACTGATTATAACTGGAACACAATGGCTCACGATGGCATCGAAGAGACGATTAGAGGAAGGAGTGTCACCAGCGATGTTGAGACAAAACTTTGAAGAAGCCATTCCTTTACCAGTTTGTTTAGTCCCGTTCCCTCTTACAGTTCCAAATGCAAAATGAACGTCTTTCTCATCTTTGAGAAGGTTATACAGTTCTTGGCGAATAGTTCCACCCTAAGACGAAAAACAATCTGACGGTTGAGATTATCTATAAAGAGCAACAGAACTGATAGATTAGAGAGGAAAACTCAGAAACACTTACATCTTTTCTGTAGATTGCTCCTTGGAAATATGCCAATATAGGACGCTTCTCAAACGGAGCTGACTCATTGTTAGATATAGTCTTAACGACGTGCAAGTAAGGCGCGATGATGTCTTTCTCAAGACTGGCAATCGCGGAAGGGTACCTTCCGAAATCCGAGAGAACAAACATTGCTGATCCAAGAAAGTTCCTTGCATAGAGCAAACTGTTTGGATGATGAGCTGTTATCAAATGATCTTTGCCATCAAATCTTTTCCACTCATCTTGACTTTTCAAGTACTCAACTAATCTTTCCTGCAACAATCTATCAACACTAACGGTTTCGTTCCCACGGAGCTTAGATTTCCGATTGTAACTCAAAGAAGCAAAGAAGGGCACAAAAACTATGTCAGCTTCAATCGAGTTCTTCACTCTAACTGCACTACATGGTCTATTGATTTCAGGTTTCTCTGAAGCTAATAGATCAAGTGTAAGCCAATACTCTACACTGTGTTGCCGATTCAACCCACCAGGATAAGAAGGGACTAAGCTAATGTTCTCAACATCTGGCCAAATCTCAGATCCTTTGCTATGCCAATTCAATATCCCAAAGTGAAATTCAGAGGGCAAATCGTACATAAAGACCTTCAACACACCTCTGTTTCGATCGCATTTGGTATCTATTTTCCCCAAGTCCTCGTTCTTGATTGGAGGAGTCATCAGCTTCCGAACTAAACTTGAAGTGAAAGAAGACTCGTTGCGTTGGAGGAAGAAGAGAGAGGAGACGATGAAGAGCAGCGTCGAAACAGTGATGGTGTAAAACAGGAATTTTGAGGAAAGCAAACTCTTTTCCGACATTTTTGTCGAACCTCAATCATCCAAACAGAACCAAAGTGAGTGGATAGTGTTCGAGTTTCTTGTGGGTAAATCGATTCGCAGAAAAAAAGGTTTCAGCTTTCGACCATCATAGATAGAAGAGCCATTGTGGAAAAATAGCTAGTACCTGAAAGAATTAGGGGTTCCGAGGTTTTACGCCATGGCAGGAGAACAGAGACTTTGATCAATGACTCAGTCTTCTTAGCTGATACTACCAGCGAACTTGTAAGAATCAGACAAGACTTCGAGTTACACGATTTGGTTTTCGGATCTTCAAATTTCTCAAGGGGTGACTTTTTATTTTATTTTCTGCGTTATATTTGGTCTTCGTTTCTGTGTGCCTCTAGAGACCTTTCCTCTCTGCTCAGGACAATTGGTGAAGACACTTCCGAGTGATAAACTATAAAAAATTAGATTGTCCTAAAAGAATCCAAAGTAAGAATCCTTGGAAAATTAATCACTAAAATTAATTATCATTAATCACTAAATTTGAAGGTCCGTATATACAAATTACTAAAATTATTCACATCTAGATTCTTATATAATTACTAATTACTAAAATTTCATATATTCCTGAATTAGAAGCTCCACACAAATTTCTTGTATTGATAATTACAACAAAAGAAATAAACACATGAAAGAAAGTAAGAAACATAGAAGATTTTATGTAACAGTGGATACTGATGATAAATGTTACGTGTAATAACAGTAAAATTTTAGTACCAGGTTTGTTTCGTTTTACTGCATTATCTTATATCACCGCAAAAAAGTTCATAACTTTAAGCCTCATCTTTGTCCTACTAGTTAGTTAAATAGATTGAAAATGATATTGGTTTGTTTCATTGTGATATTCATAGTATGTTTTTAAATATTATATGTACATTTTATGATGTTTGGTTTTAAAATGAGAGATCTTAAGTCGTCTTACTTGATATGATAAAGATAAACCCTTTACGAAAGAAAACCTCAGACTTGATATGAATGGACAAGGCCCAAGCTGAAGTGATCCAGAAAACTTGAAGAACTTTGAAGATATCTTTCGTAGAGAGGACACTGAAGCCCAATATCTGTTTGCATAATATATCCATCCATATCACCCAAACGGTGACAGAACATGGAAACACAAGAGTGGCATGTTGTATGAGCAATCAAATACAAGAAAAACTTTATTAGTGTTTGGTTAGTCTTGCGATTTTTCGTTTTTTTATTCAACAAGTGACAGACAGAGAGACACTTCAAATAAGTCCTAGATTTGATGTTTAGCTTAATAAGTTTTTTTTTTTTAATTAACCGTAGTCAATTGTTTAATAATCATTTGGGTGTCCCTCTCTCTCTCTCTCGTATTGGTCGTTTTTATTCTTCTGATTTCTCATTGCTGCCTGCTAGTTTTGATATAAAAGAAAATGTGGATCATAATAATTAACTAGTCTCACTCTGATACTGATCAAAAAATTAATGACGCAAAGACAACATAGTGACTGTGACTTATATATATTTAAAACATACATAATTAATTAAGTCGATTTTATTAGAGGGTTGATGATGTGAATTATGAAATTCACGAGTAGGGGCACGGTTGGTGAGAAACAAAGAGTCCTTTCAATAATCTTTCCCTTTTCTCTCTCTCTCTGTTTGTTCTTAATTGTATTTTTATATGTTACTACGATCCCTTTTAAAAATATTATTAAAAAGCAGACCTAATTCCACTTTTTGGATTATTTTCTTATTAATGAAATTTTAACTCTACAGTACGATAGATACTGACTAATAAACCGAGTTAACTAGCTAAAGAAATATAATTAAAAGGCATCGTAGTCGTCAAAGATTTCATTAAGAAGTCACTTACTTTTTCAATTCATTTGACAATCAACTTCGTGACATTCTTGCGTGATTTTTGGCTTTTGGATACCTTAATTATGTTTTTTCTATAGTATAATCGTCAAATTATGACATTTTCCTAATCCAAATGGTTGTTGTGTTTTTCTTCTTGGTCGATGTGGCACAAAGACAAAGCAATCACTAGTTAAACCCTCCGCTAATGTCTTTTTTTTTACTCGTCACTACACTGTATATTTTCGTTTTAATTGGTTATGTATAATAAAAGTAATTAAATTACATTTTTTGGTATCAAAATAGTACATATACATTGCATTTGCATGTAACGAGTAAAAATAAATTGTATTTGCATGTGCATGTAACGAGTAAAAATAAATTGCATTTGCATTTTTTGGTATTAAAATAGTACATATACATTGCATTATTGTGTAGCACCAAACGCAATACACATTCTTCAGTGCCACTATATTCGAATCTATAATTTTTTTATATTAAGTTAAGATACTTTTTCCTACATTATGAAAAGTTCTTGTGGTCAGGAAAAAAAAAACTCGTTGAGTTGTTTTCGTTGTAAATTAAATATTGATGTATCCTATAATAATTCCTATAGTATATAGATATTTTGACCTGATAGAGAGAATACCATTTACACACTACCTATCTAATTTATACATGCAATAATTATTTATTTTATTTTATTTTGGTTACATACAACAGTTAAGAAAGTTAATTTCTATAAACCCAAAAAAAAAAAGAAGTTAATTTCTTATTATGAGCGACGGGAATTAAAAAAAGAGTGGGACGATATATGGTCGTCGAGACTTTTGTGTGTATAAAGAGCGGGGCCTATGTTTTGCTGATTTCACGTGTAAAGAAGTCAATTTGACTAATTAGTCAGTATATTAAAATCCAATTAGAAAACATATAATACTGTCAATTCATTTGCTTTTTCTTTTGAAATTTGTCATCAAAATCTTCCTTTTTCATTTTTAATTTGTACTCTTATAATATCGAAGGAAGCTACGTGTTTCATTCATTTTTTATTGAATAGTTTTATTTTCCATTTTTTTTCTTTTGCAATATTCAAGGTGGGCACATGAAAAAGAAATAAGTATGAAAGACGTATCGTTGTGTCAAATTCTAAGCTTTTTATTTATCATACTGGCACAAATATACTAATGGATTGTATATGCCATTTGAGTTCAAATTAATATAATGGATAATACAAAAAAAAAAAAGTTGCAACTCTAACATAAATGTATATAAGAAGTTTGGAATAGTATAAAAAAAAGTGATCATGAGATTGCATTCCAATATTAACCTGTCATTGTCCCTTTGCTTGTGGGAGCAGGTCCGTTGGACTGAGTCGGATTCGCAATTAATTTATTGACTCAAAAAAAAAAAATTTATTTTATTATGTTCTCTGTATAAACAAATCATCGTGTATACATAATGCAATGCACATGATCTCGACGGTAAAATAAGGCTGGCTACTGATTTTTTTCTCCGATACTTTCTTCTTTCAACCAAAAAAGATAATTATTTCATCATGTCACTCGTAATTCTATTACCGATCTGAGACCACGAAGACCATATGCTATATAATGGAAGAGAATAATAAATTTTCTATACTCTTATGTCGCGTTTGAATATGACAATACGTGAAATAATGGAAGAGAATGAATATCGTTTTATCGACAGAGAGACAATATCCCCCCATCTTTTTTTAATAATTATACTGTACATTTCACCACACACATACATATTCATTTATTTCATTCTAAATTATATCTTCACTAAATATACATATAGTGTACATATCAATTATTTCAAACATGTTATAATTTATCCGGATTCTTATTAAAACCCCCTTCAAAAAAAAACAAATTAGCTTTTTAGTCGTATGCATAAATATAATTTTAAAACACTACAGCAAATGACTATATAGGGAGACGAAAAAAGATCAATTATGTAAAAAAAGTAGCCCATATTTTAAGTCACTTTGTCGAGTCCGTAGGTATATATATATAAAATAAAAATCCTCTAGGGTTAGATAGATTACAAACAGTCAGCATAATGTAGCTATTTTTTTATAAAAAGGGGCACAAAGGGGCATTCACAAGTTAGAAGCTAGTCCACACCCTTCTCTAGTCTCTTCTTCACTTCGTTTTGATAAAGAGTCTTTCGTATGACCCAAAGAGCCACTTGCAAGTTGCAACTTGAGGGATAAATAAAAGTAGCTAGGGTTTCTACAGATGAAGAAGAGACAGATGGTAATCAAGCAGAGATCAAGAAACTCCAACACATCTTCCTCTTGGACTACCACTTCTTCTTCTTCTTCTTCCTCGGCCATCAGTAACGTCCGCTACGTCGAGTGCCAGAAGAACCACGCTGCTAACATCGGAGGTTACGCCGTCGACGGTTGCCGTGAGTTCATGGCCGCCGGGGTTGAAGGAACCGTCGATGCTTTGAGATGCGCCGCTTGTGGTTGTCACCGGAATTTTCACCGGAAGGAAGTTGATACGGAGGTTGTTTGTGAGTATTCTCCACCTGACGCTTGAATTTTTTTTTGTTTCCAGAGGATTTTTTACTTTCCTTTTTCTTTTTCTTTTTTTCTGGTTTGGATTGGATTGATCGATTGATTTTTAAAGATGGATTTTATTAGAGGATATTTGTATATGAATATTGATGTGTATATCAAACAGCTCACATACCGCCCATCTATATATCTATATATGTATTTACAAATATAGCTTGCTGGTTTGACATATTGTATACTTCTGTTTGTGTGATGTGTAAACAATAGTTTATTTTTAATTTACATCGTCTTTTTTTTTTTTTTTACAAAAAATGAGCTAGCTTGACGAAATATTTGTATATGCTGATTAAAAACTAAAGGATTGTGAAACTATTTTCACATTTTTTTGGTTCAAATTTAATTTGGGGAATGATAGTGGAATTTTTTTTTCTTCAACAAGTTGAGTTTAAGATGAGAGACGCAGTAAAAGAAGGATATGATCTTTAATTACCTATCACGATATATATTGACCAATTTATTTTATTTTTGTTAAAGTATCGATGACCATTCTTCCATCTTCTTGTATGAGATCATTTGTATAGGAGCTAGGCATCTTTGTTAAAAGACTATACAACTTATTTTGTTCTGTCTAAAACTCGAATACAAGTTCCAATACATTTGTAGCCCTCTCTTTTCTTTGGACATTGAACCTCTGATCCCTTAAACATATGTAGAATTTATATATAATTAAGTTTCACGAAATGTTAGTAAACCTCAGTAATTAAGAATCGTCTTACTTCTTTTCTTTCAACAAAACAAATGATATTTGCAATCATACGACCAGTAATAAGATACTGATTTAGTAGGAATATGTGGACGTAGCCTGATAAATTAGATATTTATCTCGAAGATATATAAATATATATATAGTTGAATCTAATTCCGTTTGTATATTTGGCCTGGCTTCTTGAATCTAATTCCATTTATCAAATAATCATACATATATTGCGTGTGTATGAAAGCAATAAATTTTATTTGTATAATTATGTACGCGATTTCTTTGATACCACGAACGGCCCACACATATCGAATCATGTTTTCTTATCGTCTAGGTTAATGGTTTTTTGTCTACTTATTTCTTTTAAAAATCTATAATATATAGGAGTAGAATCAAAAGAAGTGGCTGAAGCAACTACAATTAAATAAGTGTTAATATATGGCCATGGGAAAAGATTTGGTTTTGTGATTAAAAAATGGTGTATTGGCTGCTTTTGCCATCATCTAAGTGGCCACTCGAATTTGTTGGAAAAGACCACTGTAGTTTTAATTATTATTATTATTATCGTTTCAAAACGAAAAGAACTTTATATATTTTCTATTCCAACTTTTTAAACTTAAGCATATTGTGAATCTCCAGAAGTTCTGAACTGTACTTAGTTTTTAGTAATGTATTGAAACCGTGACACGTATATTTAAATGACTCCGCTAGGTAAAGAAACATGCAACATTACCAAATTATATCACATCTTTATAGTGGGCACTTTGAAAAATGTATTGCGCAAATAATACATTTCCGCAAGAAAGTTCGCGTTTCGCCAGTCAACAAATTTCTAATCATTCGCAATGTAGAGTAAATAATTCTCAAGACATTGTTACATAAACTTCAATCTCTTTCTTGTTTCTTCTCGAGCGTAAAACGTGAAGTGTGTAAAACTAAATTAGAGAAGATTAAACATTATGATCGTAAAAAGATTTTCAAAGTTTTTATAAAAATCGGAACATCTTTTCAATTAGGTGGCATGTAATTGTCGGAGAGAGAGAGCTTGAAGTTGAAATCGGTGAAGGCCCATTATTGGCAAATCAATCGACACTCAAAACCAATGACAATATTTATATTTTTCTAAAACAAGTCAAATTGGTTTTATATGGGGTGAAGGTGAACAAAACTACATTTTTATTGTTGTTGACGATTGGCTCTTTCGTAAGTGTGCAAGTTTTAGAAGACCCACACCCACTAATTACTATGATTATTATCAAGGAATTCTTTTTGTTTTTGTTTTGTAATAGAGCGACGTGAAAAGCCCTAGCTAGGGGCCATTCAATAAAGCCCATGGTATATGACTTTTCTTTATATAAATTTCATCAAAACATGCACTTGTTCGAATGTAGAGTTTAACTTCTTGGACACATCTTTATGTGCGACTTACAAACTAAGAAGATGATGTACTAGAGAAATAACTCCTTACTAAATGAATCAAAAGAATTGTTACAATATTAAAAAGGGGTCATGATATATATAGTGGAATGACAAGGCAATTATATTATATATTTTGTAAGAAATAATTTATTTAAAATAAATCCCTGTAGAAGAATAAAAAAGAAGGGACCAAAAATGAACAAAACACGTGGACCAAGACAGCGAAAAGAAATCTTTGGCTTATCTAACAATGGAGAGATGGGTTTGAGAAAATGATTGAAAGTGAAGATGAGAGTTCCTTTCCTTTTGATACATGGGATCGATGTGATTTCCAAAGGCCCGCCCTTGTAATCTCACATGCTTCTGTCCTTTTAATCCTCTGATTCACACTCTTCTTCTTTCCTAATTTTCTTTTTCTTCTCATCCCCTTTCCAAAAATAACTATTCTAATCGTGATCAAAGCATGCATGCGCAGTGTCGTATGCGTATACATACTATAATACTATCAAAGTTATCGATCGATGACAAAAAAAGAGAGCGAGATAGAGAGATATGTTAATTCAAATGCAGTATTAGATATATTCAGTTTACTCTACTATAGGTAATAGATCTTTATCATGAATATTGATACTTAGATATTTGTATAAGTACAGTATGTACTTAATTAGTATAAACTGTACTTATACATATATCTAAGTATCAATATTCATGATAATCTTCGTACCTATAAGCCAATCCGTTAAGTTTAGACAAGCACTCAGTTTATGCTACTTGAAACTACTCAGCTAATCATCTAATTCAATTCATGTTTTTTTTTTTTCTGGTGAGTTTGATGAGTTTTTTTTTATCAAAAAAATTAATCAGTTTGATCGATATACGTTTTCAAAATGTTATTTTAGGTCACATCTAACTTTCCATATGAAATTTGCAACATTTTATGTTTTACATTATTAGAATTAATATACAAAACAGACTGTTATACGAAAAGTTTATGATAAAATATACTTGTGCATGTAGATCAACGCATCTTGTATTCTTGTGCATGAGATGGACACCATACCTAAACAGCTAAACCATAAAAAACCAAAAAAGGACTTGTAGAAGTAAAATAGTATTGGACAATGGAGAGGCCCATTAGTTTAAATGGGCTTGAATAAACGTACCAGATCGTAAACAAACAGGTTAGACAAACATGCTACGATGATTTATAAATTTTATATGATTACGAGTTTGCGGTTCGCCAATCGCCAGTCGATTAAATTCGATATTGTGAAGAAAAGAAAAAAAAAAATAATCATTTATTTCAGAAGACTACATATACTAAATAAAAACAAAAGACTAGATCAAATAGCAATTTGATTCTAACAGAAATTAATTATGATAACAGCTTAACTTTTATGACAAAAATTAAACCATGCATACGAATACGATCATAACTAAAGGAAGTGAGATTTGTCTAGACTACTATATCCTTTCCTCTTTAATGTAAAAACTGTATTTCATATGGCGGCGAATCAACTCTATTACAAATGTCTCTCCATCTTTTTAATTGGATAAAAACTACAAATAACTACAATAATTGATTTACATTGTGAGATTGATAAGGTTAGTTATACAGATAACTAAGGATTTATTATGTTCTACTTTAAGTCATACTCAATTGTTGTTTGTTATCACCAATTCCTATTCTAGGAAGACCAAAAGAAGTCATATTATACTGTATTGTATTATCTATGTGAGTGATGTTTGCTTATCTTTAATGATGATTAGCCAATTTTGTAGGTAACATGCATGCATAAACGTCATTTAATGCTCGTAGTCTTTAAAAAAAAAAAAAAAAACTTTATATATAGATTTGTTTATTGAAGTACTACATTAATTAAATAAACTTTACTTTCATATAGTAACAGTTTTTATCTTCATCGACTTGATAAGAAGCAAGCCACACTGTAAAATAATATGTAACTAACAATCATAGCGAACAGACAAAAGAAAGAAAAAGAAGTAAACCTATACAGTTGCTTAATTCATGTATTATTTTCTTAGAACAAATCTGGACTGTTGTTGTCATTCTTCTCACCCTCTAAAGACACATCGATGATACCTTCTTGATTATCACCACACTGAACCAAGCCTTGATCATCAAACAACCATTTCTCGATCAAAGACAACGAGCCTTGGTTATCAGCAGTAGCTTCCATGTCTATGCTTGTCTTGCTCTCACCTTGGAGCATACTTGTCTCCGGCATCAAATTCAGCTTCTCATCAACTGATCCAGATTCTGAGTTCGACGAGAACAAAGAGTGATGATCAAAAACTCCTTCTTCACCTGTGCTTGAGCTCCTATTAATGGATAGTGATGAAGTGTTGGGCCTTGAAGATGTTGAGCTTGTCCAGTTCTGAAGTAACTTAGAGATGTTCTCTGTATTTGAGGCATACGTATCAGTGGCAGAATGATGATTAGATTTTGGTGAGTCGTCCGGATCGAGAGGGATCGATGAAGATGGTTGGTCAAGTGATAAGGCTTGGAATAAGGCTTGTTTGGCCATGTTGATGTCTGTTTGAAGCTTTTTCTCCCATTGTCCTTTGTTGGTGATCCTTTTGTTGTGATTACATCTATTGTTGTTGTTATTACAAGATGAAATCTCTGTCGCCATATTAGTTTTGTCTTCGTTGATGAAACCGTTTTGAAGCTTCGTCGTCACGAGTTTCTTTTTAAGATGCGTGTTCCAAAAGTTCTTGATATCATTGTCGGTCCTCTGAGGTAGATATGATGCTATAGCTGCCCATCTGATTGTTAAAGAAAGATTAAGTCAAGATAAAAAAAAATAACAAAAACACTCATTAATAAACGAATGTAAATTCTATCTTAATAATATTATTAGGAGATTAGGGGAGATGGGACAAACACAGATATTATTGGAGATGATCAAGGGGTGTATCATGTTTGTATATACGTAAAGGAGGAATAAAGAAGTGTATGATCATGTACCTATTACCCAAAAGAGCTTGGAGATGGATGATCATCTTCTCTTCGGATGGAGTGAAATTTCCTCGTCTGATCCCAGGACGAAGATAATTAGTCCATCTGAGTCTACAACTCTTGCTACACCTTAGCAAACCTGTTCAAACATACATTTTTATATATTAAGGAATACATAATATATAACTAACGTGAAGAAGAAAGAAAGTGAAAAGAAAGATCAAGACCGGTGTTTGTCGGAACAGATCTCCAGTTTCCAGGGCCGTGTTGTTGAATATAAGAGACCAAGATTATGTCTTCTTCGGGAGTCCATGGTCCTTTCTTCACCTCGATCTTCTCACAACACGGTGGTCTACCCATATTCACACACACGTTCTTGATCGTCTCCTATATGTGTTTTCCTTTTCTTTAATTTTTTTTTTTTTTTTCTCCGTATAGTATATACATCGACGCAGTAAGACGATCTAAGATTGGATTTTTGGTATAGTAGTGTGTGGAAGCTAGGGACAGTAACTAGTTAGACTTTAAGATAGGATTTTTTGTTGCAAAGAGGGTGTTCTCAAAATCTCACTTTTTTGGACTTGAAAGAATCTTCCTGATCTTTCTTTTAACCTTTCTCTTTTAATCTCTCTTTTTTTTTTTTTGTGGCTGGTTATAAGAAGAGAGGATATACACTTAAAAGACTTTGGGTGTTGAAGAGAGAAAGACAAGCGTCTAAGTCTTATGGAGGAGTTATGTGGGTTGTTCTTTGGATCTATATGCATTGAAATAAAGGCATACACACATATTTAAACAGCGAGGAGCACTATTAGCGCTTGAATGACAATTTTATCTTTTCTTTTGTAAAACTTAATTGATTTCTTTTGTCTTATTAACATATAAACATATATGCAAACATTAATTTGACTTTTGATCTGACCCATAAAAGACTGTCTGAAACGCTTACATATGAACTATCATAAAGTTAACCGCAATAAATAAATATTATACAGTATAAAACATAATTACTGAACGTGGATGCTGAACCCGAACAGAAAAAGAAAGCCTTAGATTAAAGGGAGGGGAGATTAGAAACACTATCACCGCTAGAAGATCTAGAAAGCAGTTCAGAAATTTGATGATCCTTTGGATCAAATAATCTTTTTGTGTGTTGTTGACTCCAGCACTAGCTTGTAACCTTGTTTTTTATCTTTTTTTGGCAAGGCTGCATTCTTTAGGTTTTACCTCTGTAATTCCTAAACCTTCATATTTTAATGATATTCACATTTATATCAAAAAAAAAAGGGAGGGGGGGAATAGAGTCAGTCAATAGAGACAGCAAAGAGCATTTACTCATTTTGGTTTGCTTGTTCAAAAAGAAGTCAGCCCTTCAATTCAGGAACGTGGCAATACTAATCAAAAGGGTTGGCTCTGCAATTACGAGTATTTAGTATATACCGATTATGTAGGTGAGAGTGAGATTCTTCTATATGCTTAGTGTTGAGGAATCACAATCACCCCTTCTTTTTTTTCTTGACTCTAAAGATTCACTATAGACTATAGATCATTAGAATTTAGGTTTTTGATATTCACACGTACGAACCAAAAAAAAAATAAGAAGAACAAGTATGCACTATCGCTCATAATTAAGTTCGGTGCCAAATCCAGCCATCTTGCCAAACGTTTTTTTTTTCTTTTTTTAAAAATCTTTTTTTTTGTATATATATTTAAAGATACCTTCCATATAACATCTTGGCAAATGTTTCGCGCAGATTCTCCTTATCAAATTAAAAAGATTACAAGTCGAGTCTTTCTATATATAGTTCTATCACTCTCTCATAGTTCAAATCAATGTTTATAACAGATAAAGATCAGATGGAAGATTGAACTAGAGAAATCAGACGAAATGAGCAAATTTGCCCCTAGAACTAACATATTTTTCGTATAATTTAAAGTGCCACTGAAGATGTTTGAAATGTTCTTTCTAACTATTTAATAATAGTATTAATTTGAATATCATTCACCGAATCACCGTTACCATTTTTTAATTGTACTATAAAACTTTTACCAATCAAAATTATAATTAAACCATTATTTTTTACAGTTTTTATAAATCTTTAATTAACAACTATATAATTCGTTTGTTTAACCGGCTTGTGTCATCATCAGCAATCGAACCTTATATTCAGATAATCCAGTTATATAAAGAAACGTAATAAAATATGAAACACGATGTGATACGACCTGATAAATACTACTATTAATTAACCCAAACATATACTCCATATCATATATTATATACTATATAGCTTTACGTCTTATTAAAATTGGGCATGCTCTATAGTGTTATTAATAGCGTTAATCGACAGGCGACAGCTGTATTCATGTCGTAACAAAGATGACGGTGTTACAACATTATGTGTATTTGATAAAATTAAGAAAAGTTACGATTAATATTAGTCTACCAAAACATTTGAATAATGATCAGAAATAGCATTTACTCATTTGAAATATCCTTTAAAAGAAACCCTATCAAATCTAGATCTAGTTCACGTATTTTTCACTTTAATTAAATTTATTTTGTTGGATGTTTCCCTAATGATTGGCATAATAACGTCCACGTATACTTTTAAATATATCGAAAAATCTGATCCACGTTAATTATTAAAGAGAAGAAAAAAAAGAGTCTAATCCACTTTCAAATGACATTTTCTAGTACTACGTTATTCGATGTCAAGTCCATCTATCAAAATTAAATATTGAATTTATGGTTAAATTTTTTAACATTTTAAATTTTCATTTAAAACCGTCATTTCTACTTATCATATTTTTTTTCTTATTATTATTATTTTTACAATTTTCAGTAATTAAGGAATAATTTTGGACTAAAATCTAGATTACTACCTATAAGGCATATAGAAAAATCTATATTTTTTTTTTGCTATTCAGTGCATTTAGAAAGAGCAACCTTGACTATAATCACAGCAAAAGAATGTAATTTATTGTTTTGTAACTTTTAAAGTTACAATAGTTCAAAACACTGCACAAATATAGAATATATATTGGTTATAACTTATAAGTTAGTTAATTAATCTGTTTTGTTTTCAATTTTTTTTGAAAATTTCTCGTTATAATTTTATTTCCATTTTGGGAATATTGTTTTGGTGTTCTGATGATGAAATAGTGTCGTTGAAGATGCAATTTTTTTTTCAATTTTACATTTAAAAAAAATAATGTTGGATGTCTTTCTGGCACTGGTAACGATTATCATTCCTCAACAAATAAAAATAAAAATAGGTTTATCATAGGTTAATCCAGTTAAAATATCCAAAAAGAAAAAAAACCAAGCCAAGTTCTAAAATAACACACCAAATAATTTGGTTATTATTTTATTATTAGCAAGCCAAGCTATTTGAAGATTGAGAGTTTAAATATGTGTCTTGTACTCTAATAGTCCAATTATATATTTCAATTGTTTTCCTATCGTCTACTTCTATGCATGTATAAATATAAATGCGTTTTTTTCCCTCGCTTCAATGATTCACTTCTTAATATACACATATCATTTGATTTATGACGAAATAAATGTACGTTTAAGTTATATTATTTCTTGCAAAATTTTGGTAGTTGGAGTATCCAATCCTACAGCCACACAACAATGAAAATCAATAGTTAGTTAGTTCACACTTGAAGATTGTGTTAACATCATAAACTTTATCCCAAATAAATCATATCCACGGAATATATAAACTATTATAAGCCATATTCTTTTAACGAACGATAGCTACGTATATACATTTATCGATAGATGTGCACCCCAGTTTTAGAAATGTTACAGAACACGTACGTCTTAATTCTCCAATTAGGAGTATATATTATGCCTAAATAATGGGTAAGTACGTATACTTTTGTGGCCCTTTTAGCTAAGACTTTAAGACCAAGTCATATATTACATACTCACTACAAAAAAAGGCTTATCTTTCATCAATTAAATAGCATCAAAAATATAAATGATAGTAGTTTAAATTACTTATTAGCAAATGACACAAAATAAATAATTTAACATCAAATGTAATAAATGATGTGTTAATTAATTTATTTAAAATCAGTTCATTAAAATTGATACAAATTTGTACCAGTTTGCATCACTTAGAAAAATTGATTCAGAATATATATTTAAATCAATTAAGATAACCGATGTATTCACGTAATTTTATTAACATCACTTTTTAAAATGATATAAAATTTACATCAATTAAATGTGATGCTAAATTTATATATTTTAATTATTAAAAAACTAGTTGAATTTTATTTTAATTATTAGAAACTAATTGAAATGAAATAACCATATTCGATTTATCTTTTATAATTAATTTCGATTTTTCTTCAAAATCAACAATGAAT